CATCCATCCATCCATCCATCCATCCATCCATCCATCCATCCATCCATCCATCCATCCATCCATCCATCCATCCATCCATCAGCCAATCAATCGAGCAGCCAATTAATCAATTCAACGATCAAATTGGATTGTCTATCCTTGAGATGACAAATGTGATGGAAACGTCAACCCATTGGTCCCACGGACGTTCGCCAACTCGCTCTGAACGCCGTCAGCATAGGGAAAACTGGGGGTCACGTGTACAAATAGTCATAAACCTAGTATTTACACAAATAAACTTCCTTTGATTGGGAAATATTGAAGGTAACCTCCATCAGCACCTGGCCCAAAACACATCTTCCATTTCCGTCTTTGTAGTTTAAGCTTAATTTTTGACCACGTACCTCCTCAAAGCAGATTAACAGAGCAGTCAAGTCTCTGCGCACAGCCAGAATGGGTTTGAGTTGGGCGGAGAGGTCTGAGAGACTGGCGGCACTGGGGACACGAGGGGAACTGCCTGAGCCAGGCAGACTCCTGTCCAACGCGGCCAGAGAGAAGCCCAGTCCTGTGCGAGAGTCCTCGAGTTGTGAACGCTGCGCCTGCAGCCACTTGTGCACGGTGGAGATGTGAGCGTTTCTGACCTCCTACAACATGCACTGATGAATTACTCCCTACTCAAATAATATAAGTGGGAAGAATTGTAAATCAATAGCGTACCTTAAAACAGCTGATATTGGAGCTGCTTAAATTCAACTTAGCCGGCACTATATCGCCCTTTTGAACATCGGGAAGTTCCACAACACCATTATCGATTCCTATGACCTCGTGAATGAGCGCCTCGAATGTTGTGGGCACCATTAATGGCGTAACATAATCCAGGTCTAGAGGAAAAGAAGCAGTGTTACTGGGACGGTACGATGGTCCAAATCGGAAAATCGATAGACCAGGCCCATACGGTATCATTTGCAAAGCACATACTTCGGCTGAAGAGAATAAACATGGGGTGGTGGAACGGTACAGCCGAGGAGCACTCCTGATTGGTTGAGTCTGGTGCCATCTCGAAGGACGCCGGTTTCGTGGCCTTGATGCGACCAATCTCAGAACTGAGTCCGGCGGCAGCGACCTGCGCCGCGCTGCCAAACGCATGCAGCTGTAAGGGCAAAAAACCACGTCAGCGTTCGACTAACACGGATCCTAGAAACTGCCAAACTTCGTAAGGACTGGTAACGTAGGGGAGGTACCTACGTTGATGTCAGTTGGGGCTTGCCCCGGGGGCAGGACGATCTCCAGCACATGTCCGAGCATCTGACCGAAGTGGTACGGCCACGACGTGTCGCCGTAGAGGAAGTAGCTCGTGTAGACCTCGGGCAGGTTCAGTGAAATCAGATCCGTGTCGATTGGGATCCAGCCGAAGGACAGATCCGCGATCTGGAGGTCGTGACCCAGAACGCCGCGCGACTCCATCAGCGTTTTAACCGCAACCGTCTACTTAATCAGGGATCAATAGAGCCTTACGTGTTTGGGCGCGAACGCGACCAATTTGTTGCGTTGAATGCCTGCTTTACGGTCCATTTCTGCGTGGGCGATTACAGTGCGGACTGACTGCTTGGTAGGCGGCACAACGTAGACAAGCCTGTGGAGTTTCTGATTACCGCGTATCGCTGTGGTTACCTTGACAACGAAGCCTCCGGCGGGAGGTCTTGAATCTTGAAGACCTTCTTCACGCCGAGGCTTGAGAGGAACCGCATCGATACGGTGCTGTCAAGAGCACGAAGCAGTCCAGGCTCCACAAGCATGTGTTTCTCTCCGGGCAGCTGCAGACATAGGGGTAACTGGAGGGAATTACCTTTTTCATCACATCTTCAATGCTCGTGAGGGTGTTTTTCTTGAGGTTGTCGAGGGAGAAACTCATGACGGGGGTACGTGGAGGGTGATCCTTTTGCTCACCTTATCGATGCACCTAGAGTTGTAGTAAGGGAAATTACATTCGGCACAGCACTGCACCACGCTGGTCCAGTGAAAGCAAGGCGATTGCGTGCGCACAAACGGTGAATTGGCACAAAGTGATCATAAAAGGCCAGCAACAAAGCTTACACAAAGATTTTTGAACCGAATACTGTAAAAACTCTACGACTCTTTTCGATCAAAGCCTCAATCTCTCTGTCTAATCAAATCCTCTCAATATGGCGAGGGGAGTTAGCACGTAAACTCGGATCAGAATAGTTTTCCTAGCGCTTGACGACGACGACGACCCTGAAGTAACACCTAGGCTGCTTACGTCGTTCAAGAGTTGTCAAACTCGCCAGAATGCATATTCGAATCTGCGTCTAATTTGCAGTCAATGTAACTTACATCGACGCCCTGACACAATCCAAAGACCTATGAACTTTCAACGTGTGAGGCGTGCTTACGGTAGTTCTGTTCGTTAGCACGCATACCTCCATCAACAAGATTGTCACATCTGTACGCATAGCGTTCAACACACCTGGCATCATTGAGGTTTTTGGGGTTACTGGTGTTGCATTTAACCTCCCTCGTCTTGCGACGGATACCACTTCGGAGCGAAGTGTGCACCAGGCGAAATCGGACCAATCAACTACAGGATTTCGGGATCTACCAGTAAGCTGCCACATTCTGTCACTTCGGAGATAAGATAGCACTAAACTGTCAACACTCATCGACCGTGTCAGCCAAAATATTTCAACACGCCTTCCTCACTGTATACCGCTTAGGAGTAGAACATTTGTGACACCGTTTTAAGAAGTATTCTGGAGTTGAAACAGAATTAGCGGCGGAAATGGCGAATTTTGTCAAAAGGTCAGCTACTCACGAGTAGGTCTAATTTGCATGCTTAAATAACCCCGACTATGGCTGAAATGGTGTAGACGAAAAAGATGCATCAAAATAACCTCTGATGTTTGGGAGTTCTTTAAACACAGGACAAAGAACAGGCATTCCGCGTGACAAAAGAAGCGGTACGCCCTTTGTGTATCTGACAAAGTGCATTCGTGGAAATATAGAATGTCAAACAGCCTCAAATCATTAGAGAGGATTTTTAAGATTCCTGTTCTCAGAGGCTGCATTCAGGAGACGATGATAATTTTTTGCGTACTAGGTGATAAAGAACGTGGGAGATATTTTTATTCAAAGTACAATGTTGATTCCGGGTTAAAAACATACGAAATATGCAATTTCCACCAACCAAAGCAGCAATCGGAGAAGCCAGTCTTGCTTAGAATTGAAAAATTATTTCTTGACACTCAAACAACTGAAGACAAGTTTAATTGATCACATAGAGCATATTTGAATTTGTATTTTAACATAGCAGACTAAGGTGTGTTGAAACTCAGAGAATGTTCCGCAAAAGCCCGTCCTATTCAATTGGCAATCAATTTTGCGGTTTACTGACAAAAGCCAAATGTAGAACGACTGAATGCGTCGGTCAGAGGTATTACAAAAAACCACACAGGTTTTCTAGTAAAATGTGAACTTATATCTTTGCCCTCCGACATTTAGTTATGTGAATGCACAGGAAAGGAAGATAATGACTACGCTACAACTATTTTCGTTTTGTTAAACAAAAGTACAATAATCAGGCCGCTTGGTTAGACAGCTTTTTCATTGTAAATGGGAAAAATAAAAATAATAAAAAAGCGTAAGCATATATTAAACTACTGATTATAGTAACGAAAAAAGCCTGAGAAAATGTTGCCTATCCGCAAATAAAGAACCGGATGGCGCACTGCATACGAGCACACAGACATAGCAGTCTATAGTCCATGCTTTATTTTGAAGCGTAACAAAGGAGATGATGTGGGAAGCTTAGAAGAAAAAAATAAAGGACAGCGAAGAAATTAACATTTAGAAAATAAGAGTAGTGCCTTTCATCAATCAGTAAAGTGAAAAAGCACTTAATAATACTTGACATTTATTATAATACAATATATCCTAAAAGATTACAAAGGATAAAAAACCTATTCACGAAAAATATGGTACTGCTAGCATACACAACTAAAATAGTATCGCTTACCTCTTAATTGGTTGGTCAAGTATTTTATTCTTGCGGCGTTTTGGAAGTTAATAAAACAAATTACTTTGGAACATTATTTGGGGCCATGATCTGCATATTTGGTGTATTGAACCACGTAATTATGCAAAAATACCTACTGTGAGGTGGAGCAGATATAGAAGAAAATGAAGAAAAGCGTGCATTAAAATAAAAAGTGTACTGGAAGATAGCGTTTGGAAGTATCAGAATAACCAGCCGAAATGTATAATAATTGTAATATTTTTGTTGAAACACAGGACAATTAATAACACAGCTTTGCTTCTTAATATATTTTTCTATAACGTTGCATTAATTTTAGGCTGCGGTTGGCATTCAAATGCGCGATTATTTTGGAATTAAGACATTAATATTGCAAAATGTTAGCGATTCCTCTTTCTTTATTAGCATTCTAGGTTAAAAAGAATCAGTTAGAAACGTTTTCCACAGTCAGTAAGTCTAGCGCGGCTTCGTAGACATTTATTATAATTTGGAACGAAAAAGATATCTCCAGGATTGTGACAGGTTGTGTATTTTTTGCACTGATATTATGTTTTACGAAATGTGAGTTTTGAAACGAAAATGCTACCAACGTAATATTTTCACAGGTAAAACCAATTTGCCATGGCATCTTCTGGAAGGAATTTTGCATATTCCATGACAATTAGCCCTCTTATCAGTCAGAGAATATCGGTAAAATCATAAATGTCTATTTTGAGTCATCTGATGTTTTAGCACAAATAGTTTTACTTTTCACACACATATTTTGGAGTGTATTTTAGTTGTTACTGTATTCGTTGATTACTATGAGGCATCAGGTTATTCAAGAAATCAATATTCACCCTGAAGACCCGTTTCGATTTAATAGAATTTAATCCTGTGGATGAAGCTGCCTTTTATATATACATATTCATTTGATTTTGTTTGGTTTACCTACCCCTCTCCAGCTTTACTTTCTTTAAAATTTTTAAAGTTAATCTTAATTTTCATTAGCTCCTCATTTAATATACAGTTGGTGTTGTTTAATTGTACTGCGGTGATGCAATAAAGAACATGTATTTGGAATATTGTTATCAAGGCTTATTTTTATATCAAGTCGTCAGAATGCTATTTAAAAGGTCCATAAACTTGCAATACCACACCAGTTGCAGCTCATAAGACCGATTTTCATTTGCAGCGAACAGTAGAGTACAAACCAGAAAGGCAGAGCAACATCTAAAAGAAAATAGGTAAACTGGCTCTAGTTAGACATGTGAGATGTTTAATGCGGAAACATAATGAAGAAATTTAAAATCACTCGATAAAACGAGGCGATCAGAATTAAATAGAACCTAAGCTGTCACTGATGCAGAGGCACTTTCATCACCTTTTAATTGTAATCAGGTTGTTATAACAGTAGGACGTACTTTTAAAATAAAGATAGCCATGATAAGGAGATTACTGATTCGTGTATACAACCTTTGCTGTGATGAGTTTATATTTACTGGTAACTAAGCCGTCACTGATGCAAGATCTAGGAGAACATCTCTTCTCATTAATCATGACTAGGAACCCTTTATAGTAAATTTACAGCTGTTTTGTTTACATGCGGCGAGTCAAAGCAAAAACAAGCCAAAAGTTCGAAGACCAACCACGCTAAACTAACTCTCGAGTCCTAGACGTGGGTTCGAGACCAACATTTAAGCAGTCGATTTGTTGAGGCTCAAACACGATTTGTGAAGGATTAAGAACTTTACATTCCTCCGAATTTTATTCAGGTGCAAAAGCTTGTAATTTGTAGTGTGACAATGTGTCAATGACTGGAAGTTAACCTACAAGCATTACATCAGGAGGGAGGCATTTAAACTCAAGAACAGCCCGCACATCCAAAGTAAACTCCTTAGCGAAAATTCATGAGCACTGCTGGAGTGGACGCACTTGTTACCAGCTACTCTTTCTGTAATGAAAGAAATCGATGGACTAATTCATCCACCATGGTAGCTGAAGCCTCTGTCGTATAACTGATGAACCAATGAGAAGGCTTGTCATCGCGAGATGGTCAAAGAAATTTGATTGGTTGCAGCTCGGAAGTCAAGAAAAGTAGAAAGCATCGAGTCAAGTCATTGTGCTGATATCATTCCCCACATCTTAATGGTAATCTAAGGAGTTGATCGAAAGTTCCTCTTGTAAACAGATCGAGATGAGGGAGGTTTGTGTTCAAGCATTGTAGCAATTGGTCACGGAACGTGACAGCGTGGGAGGCAGTTGAGAATTCTACAACTCCTCCTGTCCGACTACGTCATTGCGTTAAGAAAAGCACACTTTAGAAAGACGGTGGACACACGGTCTTCTTTTTAGTTGTTATCAATGGTAAAGACCCTTGTTAGTTGACTCTGAAAGGTTCATCAAATGTAGATAGCACCAGTTGACGCGTTGAGCAGCACTTAATAGACAAGCGAATACAAGAGGATCAAAAACGAGCAGCGTATTTGCGTGGGCTTGGCAAAGGCAGTTTTGATGTTATAGAAAGGAGGATTCAGGTTTCATTCTGGAACAATTTCCACAGAGGACTGAGCAGAGTCTTCCTTTACCATCGATCGAATCCATGGTAAGATAGACGCCAATACTGAATCTCTCTCGACTGTTTGACCGTCATTCTGTTGACGTTGAAAATGCCCTCTTTCGATATTGTATAAACACAAATTATTTCTGAAGGTCTTGCAAGATTCTGGAACAAACACGACTCTCATTTTGTCACTTGATCGGCAGTTTTATTGGTTGAGACTCCGAAAATGCGCAATCCATCTGTAGACGATAGTTACCACCACATTGTGAATGCTTCCAGAGAAAACCTTGGGCGTGGGACATTAAAACAAGCTGTTTGTGCTTGCATTCGCGTTGTCTATCTTGGAAACCAGACAATTGTGAGTCTAGTGACGACTGACTGGTCACACACAGCATTCGTAGCTTCCTCAGATAAATGAATGGATATTTTGACACTGAAAGACTGTTATCATCTATTCGCATTGCTGTCATTGTCAGTGCGTGCTTTTCAGCTGAGACCTGACCAATCAAATCTGTCGATCAGTAGAGCGATCGATAAACGCGATTGAACCCGGGTGAGTGTGAATGTTTGTCATACAAGCAGCTGTAGATTTGAGCGTGGCTCACTTGAACCAAAATGGCCAACGTTCAATGACTGACCAGATTTTCAGATAGATTAAATCGACGAATAGAAGGCAACGGCACATTAATTTGAGAATTCAAGTGTCAGAGACTAGCATTCAACCGCGGTAACTGGATTAATAAAACGAAATGACAGACGATAAATTAAGTGATAAAAATTTTCCCAAATTTGATAACTTACAAGGACGGGCAGGAGTCGAATCGACCAAAAACCAAGCAGAATCGTAACTTGTTACAAAGAAAGAGAAACTCAGGAGATTTATCATCTGAAGTCCAGAGCACGCCGCGCAGCGGATTCGCTGTTCCCAGGCCGCACCCAGCCGCTTTGACTGCAATGGCAAATTTACAGGGTGCTTAAAAGTGGTCGTTTCATCTATTCGGAAACAGAAATGTCCCTGGAACTCACCAGGTTGTCACTAAGGGCGTACGTTCGGTTCGCCTTTGCCACAAATCGTTCAATCATCCACAGGACAAAGCTTATCGTAACCCAGACATCTAAAAAGAAAGAAAGTCTTCTTTTGATTGAATACACGAAAGACAATGTTGGTAACAAAACACAAATCGAGGCATAACTGAGCAGAAGCAAGCATGGAAAGTCTCGCTGTGATGGAATAAGCTGGGTTTCCACAAAATGGCGAGATTTTAATCATTTAAATGTGGAGGAAATTTCCGGCTCTAGCTATGATATTTTCAATTGCTATTTCAACGAAAATTTTTAAAAACCCAACCAGTAAACAAGGGAATTCGTGGTGACAGTATTAGTTTATAAATGCTTTGACATAGCTCAAATGAGCTCCAGCCAGGCACCAACTGGAGGTGGACTATCAGAAATCGATAATTTTTAGTGCAAATCAATAGAGTATGTGCGTTCAACAAGTCAACCAGCCGCAACTACGCTGTCACATTGAGGTGAGGCTTCGAAGGTGCACAATACTCTGCTTATGAATTGTGTGTGTGAACCTTATAAAACACTCACAATTTCCTTTGTTCCAACCGTGGAAGGTGAGGACAAAGAGGAAGGTGAAGACGGCGCCGAACACAGCGGCGATGTTCTGCACCACCGGGCTTGTCTGTCCTCTCAGATTATCCTTATTCCCGTAAGTTACCATCGTCACCACCTCCATCCATGGAATGTAAATGTAGCTGAGGGAGGCACATTCAAATAAGTTAAAGGATTTCTGCGCCTACTCCCTTCCTGTACCCCGTGGCAACGGCTATTAAGTACAATGTAGAGCTTAGTAACTATTTGTAAGTAGAATGCATGAAAGAAAGTTCACTTTTGTGACGCAGAACTCAATTTCTGGGCTTTATTCGATTGCAAAATTTTGCCATTTGTTGAGTGAATGTCTTTATCCTTTTGGCAGCATAAGATGGATGTCGTATTGGTGGGTCGATGCATTTTTGGTCAAACGAGGGCGCAGACATAATGGAACTCGTTGAGTTCAGCCAATCCTCTGTCTCTGTGCGTTTAAGTGATCAGCGAGAATGACCAGCAGCCAAACAGGGATAAAGGTGAATGAAAAGCACTGAATAATAGGTGGCAAATGCAGTTTAATAATCCGGATTTGACCATCTTCGCCACCATCACAAGGCTAACCAGAACGAAATGGCTTTACGATGTGGATCAAAATCTTGTGAGTTTTTGACAAATCGGCTCGGTAATTTAGTGTGTGCTAATAAATTTAACCAGCTATTGCATTGGTTTCATGGAAATGAAAAGGTGTCGGTTGTTCCTATGGTAATTCTAAGTTGCTTACATCAAATCTGAGGGTTGATAAATCGTTCAGTTTGCAGTTCATCAAAATTATCACAAGACTACCTGTTTCTAAAAAAAACCAAGCCTACAAGCTCGCCAAATCACTTTGTAATCATGCTCAACAGTAAATTATTTGAATTGAAAATTTCGAAGTACGAGGATTGCTAATTAAAGGCCTTCTGGTGCAAACTAATTTGTTGAAATTTATCTAAGATAGGTTAAAATTCACAAATATGCCCGAGACATGAGACCACATTAATAATAGGGACAAGGTTATGGAAGAATTCATTTATGACTCACTGTTTCAAAACATTGTACAGACCAGTGTCGAAGAATCTACGGAGAAAACAGAAGAAAGACTTAAGTGGCCAACATCGAATCAAAACCCGTTAGCACTTGCTGTAATGTGACGTAAGTAAACTAACTAAGCAAATGAGAGTGCAACACTTCTGACAGTTACTGTCATTACATTAAGTAATAGATACGAGTGGAAAATTCCACATGACTGCGATAGGCTCATGAATAGCCACCTGAAATAAAATAATCTATGCACGTAGGGTAGCAGCGTCCGGTGTCGACTTCAACTATGGCTGTTGTAGTAACACAAGGTGGACAGTTAAGGCTGCCGCTGATGACATTCCAAGTAAAAACGGAAACACTATACAGTCCTTCAAGATGGAAGCCTTAAAACTCGGCCAGTACCTCCAAATTTCCGAGGAAGTGAAAGCAATCATCGTGCAGCAAGGGCCCTCAGGCATTAAGCACTCTACCGTGACCTCGACTCTGATCCATCGTTCAACGAGAGACGCCTGCTTCCAGAACTTAGCTGCCAGCGGATCACCTCTGACAAGCTCAAGAGTGTTCGGGCTGAAGGCCGGCGACAGCAGGAATTGCTGAAAGTCGCCGACTAACCGCGACAATTCATAGAATATGACGTAGAAGAGGGTGAAGCGCACAAGGAAGGTGTAACAGGTGAAGCAGATGATGACCCAGTCCATCGGTGTTCCATGGTCTGTGAGTATTCGTTGGGTGGGCCCTATAACCACGCCGATGATGTCGATGGAACAAAGGAGGTATTTGTGCACTGCAGTCCAAAATGCTATCTTAGCGGCGTGTCCTGAAAGTCGCCAGAACGAGAGGGTTCGCAACACCGTGGCACTTCCAACGCGTTTTTCTGGAGCAAGGTGAAATGGTTTGCTCCATACAAACTGAAAAGTAAACAAGCAACTTTAAACAAATTTAACCTAGAACATACACTACGAGTACATGTTAACTAACGCAAGGATTTCTAACCTCAATAATCCACATCTCAGTAAAGGAATTGCGCGAACTCAAAGTAAGGGAAAAGAAACTGTAACTCGTTTCCGTAATAATAAACAACAGTATATAAAACATTAAATCGTATTATTTTTGTAGCTTTATTCAGCCAGGTTTTCGGTTATTTGTTGAGTAAATCCATAACAAATGTGGAAAAATCCAGGCATCTACAAACATTTTGCGACAGGACTTCTCCCCATTCCTGACTGTTACTTTTCGTTGTCCTGCTTGAATGGATAAAATATGGTTCTAACTTACCTCAAGCGGTTCTATTAAATTTATCGAAATTACGCGTGATGACTAAGTATCAACACTCAGAAACGTTCCTGATTGGTTAGCTTGTTGGGCTGTAACGCAATCTGAGCTAATTGAAGTATAATAACATGTTAGTAGCATTGATTCCTGATACGCATCCATCCTGGTATTTAAGATGTTTTGAAAGAGGTTGTAGGGAGGATGCAGTTTTTCGCTTGCCAACTGGAAGTGCATAAGCAGCACTAACATTAATTTTGAATTACGAGCCCACCTTCAAGACCAATCAGTACCCAAGCCATTGAACCAATGATTTTCTCACCAATCTGTCTACACTCTTGTCAATGTCGAAAACCAAACATAGACTTGTTTGCTATTCCAGCACTCTAACTCGCAAGGACTCGCCATCCCGATAAGTAGTAAATTCTCCCAACTCATTTGCACCCAATCGGCTTCTAAGACTCGCTGCGACGATTAAAGACCTTGGTGGATCCTCCAAAAAGCACGAGGTTACTCGAACTACTACAACGATCGATGCCGTCAGAAATATCACCAGACGAAGTGGAAGGAGTCTTGTGCTCACGCCTATTTACAGGAGTGTTCAATTCCGTCGGGCGCAATTTTGCTAACTGCCCATTCAAACCAATTCACCTTAAATTCTCCGTTCCGCCACCTCTGCCAGTCGGTGAAGACGACAAACGAGGCAGGCATGAAGACACCGGCCATGGCTTGGAAGCCAATGGACTCGGAGAGCAGTTGACCCCATCCAGTTGGTTCTTGCAACTTTGCGTAGTCACAGCACACCATCATCGCCCGTACAACCTGGCTGAAGAAGCCGGCGTAAGCGAGACTGCTTGAGTGTAGGTACCAACTGAAGTTCTGCGGTAAAGGAGAGAAATTTGTTTTGCTGTGTGGCGAAGTGGTATTAGGTGCGCAATTTGAACTAGTCAGTTTTATTTAGAGCGGCTTATTTTCAAGTCGATTGCGATTCAAAGACAGCGGGAAATTCGGCGTTCGATTAAATGGCATTTTAAACAAAGATTTGCCTTTACTAACCATCATAATCTTATTGTTTCAAAGGAAATAAAATAGGGTATTGCAACGCACAATTTTAAACCCAGTGGCTGCGTTAAATTGTCCATGGCGATAGGTGAAGGCATTTCTGACTAATTTTTTTTATAGAAAAAACGGATGTTCTGGGCCAACTGATTAAAGATATTGCGGTGCTGGTAACCTGGATGGCTGCTTGAGCTGTATTCGGAATGTTTCACGAATTTTCATACCAGACACTAGCGAACGCCAATTTCAATCGATCTGTCTACTTCTGTCCAATGACCTGAATGTCAATCGTTCCTTTTTACGCTGACACGCTAAACTGTTGAAGACTGTGTTATCTTTGAACGCTTGTTCTATGCCTCACTCCTTCAACATATGTAAATAGGTGACTTAGTTAACTGGATAGATTGTCATTCACAACACCATCTCACTGCAAAACCATTGGGCAGTTTAAATAATAATCAATATTCCGATTAAAAAAACCATAACTTACTATTCTTGGGACGTACTCTAAGATTTTTTCAATCAGTCCAATTACTAGAAGGCCAACGAGTTGAGGTAGAATTCGTGTTCCTCGTAAACAACGGCCAGTAGTAGCCAGTAAAATAGAAATTGCAACGATTACTGCCATGAGCTGATAACCGTAGAGCCGAATCATCAGTCCAACCGAGAGAAGTTCGACTACTTGGATTTTCTGGTGGCAAATTTACTATCTTGAGTAACTTACGTAAGGTACATTGAATAGGTTTACAAGCAAACACGCCACAAAGAGGCAGGCCAAGTAAGGACCCATAACAAAGTAGCTCTCAATTTCATTATAATCCGTTCCTATTGTGTTCTGTGAAGCTTACATCAGTAATTGAGAGAGCCTACATAAAATCCACGAACAATTCTCCTGGCACCGCGGGGTAGGTCTTTGTAAGCGGCGACATCTAAACCGGTCACTGTGGAAGCACCTCGGCAACATTACCTGTTTTCGCGCAGTGCAGGTGCAAACCCAGCAAAAGGGAACAGTAGATCGCCGAGTAGATGAGGAGTTCCACGCGGCTGATGGTGTTCATTCGGGCCTAATTCGTGGTAAACTACTTCGACGAAACACGTGCCAGTGTATCGAATGTTTATTCTAAGCCAGGTGTGAGGTCATTGGACGGCAGGTGGAGGCGCGCATTACGAACAAATACACACACGTGCACTCACCACTTTTCAAAACTCCACTCTATATGTACCCTCGACGGATTTTTGGAATACGTAGACCTAAAAGTCCGACCAAGAGTTGTCTTTTTTTAATGAAGTAGTAGAATGTCCATTAGCGGAAAGATAGTAGTCGTCTTGTTATGCAGTATTGATTGTAAAAAGTTTGCTGATCAATACCAAGAATGACCTTGAAAGTAACATATGGATTCTCGCAATTGGGACGCCATGTTTAAAAACGTTACACGACAAAGACACATGCTAGCAATGACATCTTCGTACCAAAAGTTTTAGCATCCTTCGATTGCGCATTTGTCGTTAAAATGCTTTGTAAAAAGTCTTAAAAAAGGTGCACAAGTCGATAGCTCCTTTCATAACAAGAAACTGTATCAACAATACTCCATAATTGGGGCTCTTTAACAAACATGGTGCTGCAGTTGCGTGGTTTCTACCAAACATGGTGCTGCAGTTGCGTGGTTTCTACCAAATAATCAGTTTTAACTGGTGTAGTCTATATTGCAATACATTAGCTCTAAATTACACAACAATTGGTAACCAACACATGCTCCTTCGATTTCGCAAAAAACTGCTACGTTGTGGTTTTTGTAAATATTCTAGAATCGAATATTTTAAAATTCCACGGTTTGTCTTAAAGAATCACAATTTTAGTGTCTGACCATGTGCTCTAGGTTTGCTGGGGTGTGCGTCCCTGCAATCGGGTCGATGTGATTTTTTAGCTGAATGGCAGCGATTGTGGAGTAATATCTAGAAAGTTAGCATTGTCGGTGAGTTAACCATTTGTTAGAAGGCATTTTAGAGCTTTCTTTGAATCTGTGTTCAGTAAGGGGTACCCAGCCACACTCTAAAGATATCTGGAGCATCAAATACGGCCTGTCCTAGCAACTGCTTCCACTTTGAAGCATACTTCTTCCCCAATAATTCAACAAGTGAGACACAGCATTTCACTAACCTCCGATGTTTCTCTTAGTGGCATTCTGCTGTTCCAGTAACAAACTGTCCCGGAGACTTCAGCTCAATTTGGAACAATGGAACAGCCCGATTGACTGGTTTGTGTTGGTCGGATTCACTAGTATATCTAACTTGGATCAAGATGGTTCTCTCGAATAACAGACAACGCTGAAGGGGGATGTCGTGACGCTGTTACATCACAGTGCACACGTCAGTTTACAACTCTCTCTCTAAACAACCTATTGAAGGATGTGCAGTAGAGGCAACGCTCTAGTAATACCGATTTATTAACAGTAGCAGGAAGCATTTTAATGGCATTCACAATTAAGAACTTCGTTTTTATTGAACAGGAATCATCTTCAGGCTACGTACCCTTGAGAAAAGCCACTGATGACTCCGAAACGTCATCCAGCTTCAACAAATCAATCACGAGAGATCAGCCTTTCAGTTTTTCGTTGTATTTCGATTATGTTCGCCCGAAGCGAATAAGGACTGTAGTGAATCGCTGTGATGCTCATCCATCATCGCTCTGTTAATGCATATCCGAACACTCTGATAATCCCGTTGTGATAGCCTCACTCATTCACGCATTCCTCATCATCACCTTCCTCCTTGTAAAGGCTTCCCCTACTTCCTAGGTCATAGTCCTGTGATTAACTAGACATAAACTTCGGCAGAGGAAACAGTAATTCATAATATCTTTTACTACACAAACTACTTTCCAGTTTTTACGATATTCTGATTAGCCGACACCACTATCATGTGTTAATAAAATACCACTGAACATTGCCATTTTGGTTTCCCAAAGCCATAGTCACAAAAACTACTAACATGGCAAATGACATGGAGGAATAACTGAATTCCGTGTGACAATTTTGTTATATTTTCGTTACTTTGAGCCTACGTGACGTGACCAAACTGTGTTTGTTGGCGCTCAAATTGGACTCGTTGCGTCAATTTCATTTCAATGCTTTCTTACATGCGAAATGACTTGGCTCGAGTACACCTCGAAAAAAGATATTTCAAACATGCTGCGTACTCATAAGCACGCTTTAAAAAAACATATTTTATTGCCAAGTTAGAAAGGAGTACGATTTGAAAATGAGTTAGACAAAACACTAGAAATTGTTTCCCGATATAAACTTACCAGCTGCACAGTCGAATCTTTGGTTTTGATATCAGAAACGTGTTGTCATGATAATGCTTCGATTGATGTTGCACTCCTAACTGTTGGAATTGATCCGATATTCTGTTGTAAACGGCATTAGTTGCGTCCTTAATATTTTCAACCCCATGATTGTATTTAATCCAGTTATTTGAACATTTTTGCAGATCCTCGAATTTAGTTCATCGGGTCTTTGTTAGTCACATTATACGAACAACAATTGTCTAAATTTTTCGAAAAAAATTGCTCCGGTCCAGTAGGGCACCGCCATATTAAACCAAATATTAACATTGGTCAGCTATTGTTTCATTACCTTCAATGTCGGGTAGTTTAAACCGACGAAATATAGCAGAATGGTTAATCCATGATATGGACATTCAGGTGCAAGTGCAAAGAATAGAACACTGTAGCGTCCACCCAAAAGATAATACAAGGATTTACAAAAATTTGACTTGAATTTGGAATCGAGAAGTCGGCTGTAGCTGATCGCGCTAACTAAGTGACAAATTTTGCAACATTCTCGTGGCCATTATCTCTAGATTTGTCCATACCGTCTAGTAATTAGTATTAATTTGTGATAATTTAAATGTTTTTAAAGTATAACAAAATCGATTAACTCTGGCCGAACATATCTCCGTCGGCTGATTCTTTACATCTACTAGCCTACATGTGCATACACAGAATAGCATATTCTTGGTCTGAAGGCTACAGGTACAGCAGAGGAGGTTTCCTTGATGCCTCACGTTTCAGAATCATCTGTCATTGGTCGTCAATCCGAGTCCACCATATTGGCTGCAACGCCCATTATAGAGTACCTCTTTTTCATCCTCATTTTTGGTTGGCTGTTGACCTTTCTCGTAGGCCATTGGAACGTACATCGGCAGAAAATCGGCTGAGCTCAGTATGGTCCTAGATGGCTGCGCCCACACATATCTGAGTTGTAGAATACCCGAGCCCTAATAGGAAAAAGACCGGTACAACAGAACAGGCTTTATTGACCAATCATGAGCCAGAATCACAAGTCATGCGCCTTCCATCCGAGTCCACCACGGTGGCCACGCCGATCATTATATACTGCACCTCATTCGTGTCTTTCTTTGGTTGGCTGCCTTTGTTCCTCGCATGGTATTGGAACGCAAAGAGACAGAGGATTGGCTTAGAGCGGCGTAGTCCAATATGTCCGCGCCCTCAGACGTCGCCATAGAGTAAAGGTCAGAATTATGCGCCTGTGTTGTATTGGGATACGCTGATAACTGGTGTGTGGGAAAAAACATACCAACCCCCCAGAAGTGAAACATATTTGATAGGAGGTAACAGTGCCATGATGTTTGGCTGAGTTGGGACGGCCCAGCGAATTCGTCATTCATACCTGCTCAATAGATTTCCTAGCTTGTACTTCAAAGCCATGAGTGTTCAGGTGAAGGCGCTACACTAGGTGCTTGGGAAGATACTGCTGGTTTCGTTGTCCTGTCTAGAATAGGGAGCCAAATAACTTGGT